TACAAAAAAAGTGGAAAGACATCCTATGTTCCTGTGTTGACTGAATGAATATAATTGAAATTTCAATTCATCCTGAATTACTCTATAAATTTAATGTAATCCCAATCAAATTACCAGAGAAGTTCTTCATAGATTTAGAAAAAAACAATCACAGAACTTGCCTAGAATCATAAAAGACCCCATATTGACAAAGTAATACTGCACAAGAAGAGTAGAGTAGGAGGGGCCAGCAGGTAGCATGCTGGTTAAGGCGATGGACTCCCATAAGACCAACAGGGTTCAAGTCCCAGACCTGGCAGCTTGCTTTCTCATTTCCCTCTCTCTCTATCTCTCTTTGGTGAGCACATATGCCCTATAGCAAATTAAAAATGATGATAATGGGGCCAGCAGTTAGCATAATGGCTATGTCGCTGGACTCCCATGTAGTCGACCGCGGTTCGCGTCCCGGACCTGGTAGCTTAAAACTCACACCGGGCGCGCGTGTGTGTGTGTGCCCAAGATCCCCATGTTCCTGGATTGAAAGAATTAGTAGTCAAAATGGCAATTCTACTCAAATTAATCTACATATTTAATGCAATCTCTATCAAATTACAAGAGACATTCTTCACAGATCTAGAAAAGACAATCATAGAATCTGTCTGGAATCATAAAAGACCCTCTATTGCTAAAGTAATCCTATGCAAGAAGAGTGGCATGGACAGCATCTCACTCTCTGACCCTAAAATATATTACAAAACTGTGATAAAACCAGCATGATACTGGCATAAAAACAGGCATGTATACCATGTATACCATGGAACAGAATAGAGACTCCAGGAAAAAACCCAGACAAAGCCAACTGATTTTTTACTAAGGGCACCAGTCAATTCAGTGGGGTAAAACAAAATCTCTTTAGTAAATGGTGCTGAAAAAAATTGGGTATCCACCAACAAAAAGATGAAACTGGACCTGTATTGATCACCATTGACAAAAATCAACTCCAAAAAGGATCAAAGATCTAAACTTAAGGCCTCAAACTATAAAACTGCTGGTGGATAGCATAGGGGAAACTCTGTGTTTTGGAGATGCCAAAGACTTCTTAAATAGGATTCCTAAAGCACAGGCAATAATCCCAAAAATAGACAAGTGGGATTACATCAGGTTAAAAAGCTTCTGCACAACAAAAGAAATAATTAGAGTAAATCTGCAACCCTCAGAATGGGAGAATATATTTGCAAACTAAGTCTCAGATAAGGGACTGATAACCAGAATACACAGGGAGCCCAAATAGCTTACCTGAAAAAAAAAATTATCAACCCAATTAAAAGATGGGGAAATTGAGACCAGCAGTTAGCGTAATGGCTATGTTGCTGGACTCCCATGTAGTTGACCACGGTTCGCATCCTGGACCCGGTGACTTAAAACTCACGCCAGGCGCGTGTGCGTATGTGCCCAAGATCCCGAGAGGAGAATGGAGGAGAAGGGATTGCGGCGTGGCCATCCCCCCTGGGAGGTGATTTCTCACTTTCTGTCTCTCTGTCTCTCTCTTTCTGGCGATTGCACGTGCCCTATCACAAAAACCTCTCAAAAAAACAAACAAAAAAGATAGGGAAATGAGCTGAATTGACAACTCTCTAGAAGGGATATGCAAATAGCCAAAAAGTATACAAAAAATGCTCAACAGCCCTTATCATAAGGGAGATGTAAATCAAAACTACAATGAGATACCACCTAACTGTAGTCAGAATGGCTAAGATTAAAAAAATAAAGAATGATCGGGACCAGTGGGTGGCATGGTGGTTAAGGCACTGGAATTCCCACATGGCCAACCACAGTTCGAGTCCCAGACCTGGCAGCTTGCTTTCTCACTTTCCCTCTCTCTCTGTCTTTCTCTGGCAAAATTAATGTGAAATAATAATAATAAATAAATAAAATAGTTCTTTAAAAAAATAAAGAAAGAAAGAATAAGTAATGGATATACTATGGAGAAAAGGGAACTCTCCTACACTGTTGGTGGGAATGTAAACTAGTACAGTCACTGTGGAGAACAATAAGGAGATTCCTCAAAGACCTATAGATAAACTACCATATGATCCAGCAATTCTACTCCTAGGTATCTATCCAAATGATAAGAATACACTCAGTCAGAAAAACTTTTAAACATCCATGTTTACTGCAGCATTATTCACAACTGCTAAGACATGGAACCAACCCAAATGTCCAAAAACAGATGAATGATTGAAAAAGTGTGGTACATATGCACTATGGAATACTACTCAGCCATTAAAAAAAAAAAAAAAACAGCAAGACGCTGACAATCTAAAGTGGACAAATATGGAAGATTTACTGCTACAGCAAAGCCAGCCAGACTATGAAAGTGAAGCATTGTATGTCCCCACTCAAATGTATACCGAAAGTCTGCACTGTATGGCAGAAACTTGGAAGGCCTAAAAGCATGGAGAGCAACTGTGGATAATGGAGACAGTGTGGAAGAAGGGCGAGAAATAGGGGAGGGTGTGAGTGAGGGACTAAGGGGGGGGGAGAAAGAAGCAAAACATTTAAGCAATACAAAAGCAGAAAATTATCTGTTGATGATAATGCATATGGTAATATCTTCAACTGGACTAATATATGGAGTATTCATGCTGGGAAAATTAATTTAGTATGTTCTAATGAAATACAGGATTGAATGTAAAATAACACTAATTATAATAAAACAAACTTTTGAGAGGTTTTTTTTTTTTTTTGTAAAAGGACACATGCACTCTCCAGAGAGATAGAGAGAGAGAGTGAGAAATCACCCCCATGAGGGGATGCCCGCATTACAATCCCTTCCCATCTCTTCTCCTTTTGGGATTTTGGAGATGCATGCACATGCACTAGGCATTGAGTTTTAAGCCCATGGGAGTCCAACAACATAACCATTACGCCACTTGCTGGTTCCAATATAAGGTATCTTTTGCAAAAGAAAAAGTGGGCTAGGTTTCTGTGGCACAATCAGTGGCTAGAAGCTACATGGCTGATTGCAGGTTCAGATTCCTGGCCCAGAAGACCTTAAACACACTGGGCATACACATGTGCACAAGATCCTGAGGAGCTAAAGGATCGGGAGAAAGGGATGCCAGCATGATCAGATCCTATCAAGGGTGTCCTCACTCTGTTGTATGTATTTACACATGCACTCACTATTCTGACCTTTCATTAAAAGTGGTTCTTTGGAAAGATCTACAAAACTAACCAACCTCTTAGGGGAAAAAATGGCTGCTGCCAGCTGAGTCATTCTTTGTAGGAGATTCTCAGCTATGCTGAAGGCTTTCAGATCCTTAGTAACTCCTCAGGCTCCTGCTAGCACAGATTACTTGTTTTCTGTTAGTTTGTTGCCACAGTATATACCAAATCTCACATCTTTGTAGCAGTATAGATTATTTCATACCACAGCATTAAAAAAAGGACTGGAGAAGTTTTGATAACCCAAAAAACTGAGGGGAAGAAAAAGTGAAATCAGGAGCTTCATGGATCTATCAGCAATTATGGAACAATAGTAATAAAGATTTACATGAACTTTGGTATGTATTACGGAAAGAAACATGCTCCAAATAATTCTAGAGTGGAAACCAAGCTACAGAGGTCGCAAATGACAAATCCAGAGCAGTTAGAAAAGGCAGTAGATTCCAGGTATGCATTAATAAAGTTGTCCAGGAAGGATAACATTCACTAAGGCTTCTTTAGACTTGTCAAGAAAGCTAGATCTGGTGCCTGGATAAGAAACATCTTTGGAAGAATTATCTGGCATAAACTCAAGCAGTGGCCTATACCTTGGAACCTAAATAAAAGCTACAATAGGAAACAATTCTTTGCAATGCCTTCTGTGTATCATTTTGTTAGACTGAGACTTGAGAAACAAGCCCACATTGAAGAAAAAAAAAAAAAATTACAGAAAAAGAAAGAAAAACTTCTTTGGGAAAAGTTTCCATACCTTTTTGAAGCCCAGAAATCAAATCATATCTAAGAGGCCTGCACATTTAATTTACTATTTTGTATTTCTTGCTAATAAAGTCTATGTACAGAAGTAAATATACATTAAATGGTTTATAAAGGGAAATAAAACTAACCAACTTAGTTGACACAAATAAGAGAGAAAGGTACAAATAATATCAGGAATGAAACAAAGGCAGTAACTAGAGACCTAGAAGACATCCAAAGGAGAATAAGAAAATAGTATGAATGACTCTACATAGACACATAAATTTGACAATTTAAATAAAATAGACCAATTCCTTAAAAAGTACAGACGACCACAACTCATCAAAGAGAAAGAGGTAATTTGAATAGCCTTATAAAATTTCAGGAAATTTAACTTTATTTAAATTGAATGTTAATTAAAATCTTCTCAAAAAAGAAATTTTCAAGTCCATGTCATTTCACTAGAGAATTCTAACAAACATTTGTGTTAAGGAAATTTAACACAAATTCAGATTAAATAAATCAAAGAAAATCTAAATAAATGGAAAGACACATTATGTTCATGAAAGACTCAATCAGTTAAAGATGTCAACTTTCCCCAAACTGAGACAACCAGGGACATTTTTCCCCCACCTGAGATCTAAGAACTCATAATCTAGAGGTGAGACCCAAGCATCCACTGATTAAGGAAAAAAGACCCTCAAATCAAGTCATTCTGATTTACAGTCTAAAATGCCAGCCTCATAGTCACTATCCCTAGAGTCATAGAGCTAAGAGTTCTGTATTCTATCTGTCTAGCAAGTTGACATAAATCCTATGCAAAAGAGTCCGACTGTCTCCTCCTGGACACCCTCATCTGCAGTCTCTCCAGGTGACACACTGCCTACTGGCCAACACATGAATTTTTTTTAAAGTATGATTTTGAGTCTCCAGCTAATACGAGAAAAATATCTCACATTATCAGATTAATACAGTTAGAAAGGGGTTGGCTACGTTACCACAAGCTTCCTTTTTCCTTTTACCTTCCCCAAACCCACCCAGAGGTACCCAGGAAAGACCTGTAGGAATGAAGAGTGTCTGTCCTTGCTTCACAGAACATTTGTAGCACTTGTCCACCTGGTCCCCAAAGAACATCTCATTCTGATGAGAGGAGCTGCTCCAGCACTCAAAGAGAGTCAGGTTGGCATTTGTTGGGCGTATCAAGTAAAAGATCTTCTCACCCTGAAATTTTAAAAAAAAGGTCAAAACTACCAAGAAATTCCAGAAAAGTCCCTCAGAGATACTTCAAAGGGCTATTTTTTCCCATGCTCCAAGATCATGGCAGTATGCCAGAGTTATTTCCCAAACTCATCTAAGAATCATTTTTAAGAAGATTTGGAAACTTCATAAGGTCTTCATGCACTTTGTACCATTAATTTTATATAAATTTGACAAAGACTATTTGGAAGAGACATTTAAAACAAAATCGTTCAACTTAGGACAAATGTACACCAGGTATTCCTATTTTAGATGCAATATCAAAAGAAAAAAATGCCCTCTGCAGCTTGCAATACTCCAATCCTAAAAGAGATTAAGGCCACATTAGTGATGAGAACAAAAATTGTATTAGCCTTTAAATGTAATTTACAGAGTGTTCCTGCTCACACCTGACATCAAAGCTAATAACTTTTTCCCTTTTAAAAATATTTTTATCGGGAACCAGCAGTTAGCGCAATGGCTATGTCGCTGGACTCCCACATAGTCGACCGCAGTTCACGTCCCAGACCCGGTGGCTTAAAACTCACGCCAGGCACGTGTGCGTGCGTGCCCAAGATCCCAAGAGGAGAATGGAGGAGAAGGGATTGCGGCATGACCATCCCCCCGGGGGGTGATTTCTCGCTTTCTGTCTCTATGTCTCTCTCTGTCTGTCTGGCAAGCGCACGCGCCCTATAGCAAAGACCTCTCAAAAAAAAAAAAAAAAAAAAAAAAAAAAAACACCCACACAAGGCGCAGGTGCGCCCAAGATCCCGAGAGAAGAATGGAGGAGAAGGGATTGCTGCATGACCATCCCCCCTGGGGGGTGATTTCTCGCTTTCTGTCTCTCTGTCTCTTGGTCTGTCTGGTGAGCGCACGCGCCCTATAGTGAAAACCTCTCTAAAAAAAAATTTTTTTTATCAATTTCTTTACATTTTCCCACATTTACTTTATATATTAAAAAATCTTTGTTCATGTGTTTTGTTTAGATAATCATAAGAGATAATTTGGCAAAAAAAATCCACTAGCACAAATATATTACCTCACCTTGATTGATTTCACAATAATAAATTCCAACAACATAAGAAATATCTATTGCACAATTGGAAAAATCCGAATCAGATCTGTAGATTAGTTAGTATTTTATCAGTGTTAATTTCCTGATTTTGATATCTATACTGTGATTAAGAGAATGCCTTTGTTATTAAGAATTACACAATAAATTATAGAGAGATAAAGGAACATCAGTCTATAACTACTCTCAAATGTCTCATAAGAAAACATATATATGCACACATAGATATGTATATAATAAAGGACATTTTATTATGCTTACTATAAAGAAAGAGAATACAATAAAATGGCAACCCAAAGAGAATCTAGGTGAAGGGCACACAGTAGTTCTTCCCATTATTTTTGCAATTTTTGAATAAAACTTAAGTCTAACATTTGCATAATAGCACTTTTATTTACATGTCTAATTTCTTCATAACTCAATGGATACAAGTTGAAGATTTGTTGATCATTTAGACAACAGACATAATCTAAGTTTTCAGCTCTTTCCTTGGCATTTTTTTTTTGAGAGATTTTCACTGTAGGGCGCGTGCACTCGCCAGACAGACAGTGAGAGACATAGAGACAGAAAGCGAGAAATCACCCCCCAGGGGGCATGGTCACGCCGCAATCCCTTCTCCTCCATTCTCCTCTCGGGATCTTGGGCACGCACGCACACGCGCCCGGCGTGAGTTTTAAGCCACCGGGTCCGGGACACGAACCGCGGTCGACTACGTGGGAGTCCAGCGACATAGCCATTACGCTAACTGCTGGTTCCCCCTTGGCATTTTTTATAAGAAAACTAAACAGCATGAACGATAGTGAAAAATAAAAGTATAGGGCCGAGTGGCATGGTGATTAAGGTGTTGTACTACCACATGGTCAACTATTATTCAAGTCCCAGAACCTGCGGCTTGAAAATCACACCAGATATGTATGTGGGTGCCTAAAATCCCAAGAAGAAAACAGAGAAGAGACTGCAGAGTGGCCAGAAGGTTGGCCACCCTGCCTGGGGGGGGGGGATTTTTCACTTTCCCTCTCCTTGTCTCTGTTTCTTTCTCTCTACAGTGAGTATACATGCCCTGTGGCAAAAAAAAAAAAAAAAAACTTAAAAAATTAATCAAGAAATTAGGGGCCGGCAGATGCCATGGTAGTTAAGACTCTGGATTCTGCATGTCCATCTCTGTGGTTTGAGTCCCAGACTTGGCAGCTCGAGAAACATGTTGGATGAATATATGTGCATGCCCAAAATCCTGAGAAGAGACTAGAGAAGGGATTGCAATGTGACCATTAACTCCCAGGGCTGAGGGAGATGTCTCACTTTTTCTCTCTTTCTCTTCAGTGAGTGCATGCACCCTAAGACAAAAATAGCAAAAATATATATTTAAGAAATTTGTTTTCCAGACCTCAAATATCTTTTACAGTCACTGACAATTAGTACACTATTTACAAAATTGTAACAACCACTAAAAATGAAATTTTCTATAGGAATCCTTACTTTAAAAAGACTGCATATAGGGACCAGCAGGTGCTATGGTGGTTAAGGTGCTGGACTCCTCTATATGATTAACTGTGGTTCAAGTACTAGACCTGGCAGCTTGAAAATCACACTGGTATATGTGTGTGCATGCCCAAAATCCTAGGGAGGAGACTGGAGAAGGGATTGCAGTTGTGTCATCTTCCCTAGGCAGGGGGTGATTTCTCACTTTCCTTCTCATCATCTCTCTATGTCTCTCTCTGGTGAGCCCTACGGCAAAAACCTTAAAAAAAGAAGACTTCATACATGTTTTATATTGACTATGGTGACAGTTAAATGACTACAAGTATCCCTAATCTAAAAATACAAAATATTAGGTTGTCGGGAAGTTTACGATGAAAAATGCATCATGACTTTCCTGACAACCCAATACAAAATGCTCCAAAATCTGAAACTTTCTCAGCACCATCATAAAACCATTAGTGGAAAATTCCACACCTGACCTCAAGTGATGAGTCATAATCAAAATGATGTACCTGGGGACCAGCAGATGGCGTAATGGCTATGTCGCTGGACTCCCAACGTGGTCGACCGTGGTTTGGGTCCCGGACCTGGTGGCTTAAACTCACACCGGGCGCGTGTGCGTGCGTGCCCAAGATCCCGAGAGGAGAATGGAGGAGAAGGGATTGCGGCGTGGCCATCCCCCCTGCAGGGTGATTTCTCGCTTTCTGTCTCTCTGTCTCTCTCTGTCTGTCTGGCGAGCGCACACACCCTATAGCAAAAGCCTCTAAAAAAAAAAAATGATGTACCTGTAACCCCAGTGATTTGGAAAGTCTGTGAGCCTAAGGTTGTCCTGGCCAACACAGCAAGACCATGTCTTTTTTTTTTTAAAAAAAAAGAGCCAGACCTGCCTAGAGATCAGAAAGCTGAGTCCACATAGCTAACTGTATGGTTAGAATTAAAGCCCCAGCAGCTGAAAAACATGCTGGGTGCATGTACATGAGTGTCCAAAATTCCAACAGAATGGAGAAATGGAGAAGGTATTATGGCATGACCATGCCCCACTGGGGATGCTTTCTTCCTCTCCCTATCTCCCTAGCAAGCATACATACCCTCTGGCAAAACAAGCAAAAATAAACAAACAAACAAAGCATGGTGGTGTATACTTGTAGTCCAAACTGGGAGGCTGAGGCAGGAGGATAGTAACAGTGAGACCCTTCTTTAAAAAGTTGCAGTACAATATATTGTATAAAATTACCCTCAGGCTATGAGTATAAGATGTATACAAAACATATACACCAAGTTTATACATCTTATATTTAAACTTGAGTCCCATCACCAAGATATCTTGCTATGTGCATTTGTTTTCTTGTTATGTTATGGAATATTTACAAATATTCCAATATCCAAAAACATGAAATCCAAAATGCTCTGAACATTTCTGATCCCAAGTGCTTCAAATAAGTCATATCCAATCTGTATTTAAATTATATCCTCTATAATAAAAACAATGGTATGATCCTTAAAAATAAATAAATAAATAAATAAATAAAATCTCAACAAAATTGCAGGGATGGAGAAGTTTTTCATAATACCAGGAATTTATGAAGTAAACATGGACATTTCCATACATGTTGTAGGAGTACGAATTGGTCCAATTAAGAAGGTAACAGTTAGGAGACAATAACCAAAGCACGACAGTTAACACAACATTCCATGACACCAAATCCACATGGGAAGGTCCCAGGTTTGTGTCCTGGAGTCTCTCTGTACATATTGGGCACATGCCTACATGCCTGGGGTGGCAAAGGCTGGGGATAGATGGTGGCATGAAGACACTGTTGGGTGAGCCTCATTCTCACCTCTACACCTTTCCCTCACTCTCATGAAATAAATAAACTTAAAAAAAAGGTAATGGTTGGGAAAACCTTAGGCATCTGCTATTACTAAAAAAAAAAAATATTTGATTAAGCATCAGCATCAAATCAATATCACATATGGCACATTTATCAAGTACTCAACCTTGATAGAGTACTTACGTGGAAATGTCACCCAAACAGAACCTGGGAGGGGGGCACATAGGTCTCAGCAGCCTGTTTTGTGCTGCTACCTGACACAAACAAGGAGGCCTAAGATTTGGCTGCCTTCAAAAGTCATATCCGTTCCTACCTTGAGTACATGGTACCAGACTGAGGTGCCACCAAAGTCAATGTGAAAGTCTGTATAGCTATCCCTCACGCTCATGAGGCAGTACTTCTGCACATTGGGTCTCTCAAAGACACACTCTTCTGGCCACAAGTTCTCGACCCAGGACAGCTTTCGAACAATCTTGGGTGTCTCCACAAGGTTAGAAAGTCTAGCAAGAAAGGGGTGCACAGAAGATGTCAGTTGATTGAGAATGGAAGGTTGAAACAAATAAAATACCCTATATTTCAGTGACAGCTAAGACACAGAACAGGTTCTCTCCACACAATCCCCAAAGGCACATGGGACACCTATTTCAGCAAAATTAATCAGCAACCTTGATAGAGTACTTATGTGGAAATATCACCCCAAAAGAACCTGGAAGGCAAGTGGGTCTCAGCCTAAAAAGTCCCAAATCCCAGCTCCACATCCTTCCCCTGTTGAAGGTGGTCATTTCCTCCACAAAATGCTCATATTACTCCCCTGACCCAGACTACTCACCTGGTACTTGGTGGATCACCGTTATTATACTGTCCCCTTCCTATTGTGTCTTTAGGAGAAACAACTTAGAGAAACCTCTCAGAGCTTAGTTCCAGGTAAAGAATTATTTCTCTGAAACATCTGATTGTTTTTTTCCTATGCAAAACAACAAATCTTATAATATTGCACTATCCTATTTGTTTAGTCCGTTGGAAAATTCAGTGAAAACTCTGCAGTCCATCTCCACTAACTATGCTGACATTTAATACATGTATTTTATTTACAGATGACCCATTAAAAACATCCTATTTCTCTGCCTTTATTTTTCCTCTTGTTCCAATTTTCTTTCCTCTTGCCATCTCTCTAAGTTACCTCAAATAGTCTTTCAAGATAAAAACATAAACAAAGTTTTTTTTTTTTGAAATAATTATTTTAACTTTATTTATTTATTTATTTTTAAATTTGATCAAAGAGGGACAGAACAAAAGAGGGAGGGAGGGGGAGAGAGAGAGAGAGAGAGAATGAGCAAGCAAGTCGCCAGGTCCAGGACTTGAACTGCGGTCAGCCATATAGGAGCCCAGCACCCTTAACCACATCACCTGCTGGCCCCAATAAACACAGTTTTTAACACATCCTTGTTTAACCTTGATCTTAAAAACAACAGCAAGGGTCCTAATATTGTACTATAACCATGTTACCACTGTGGTAAACTGGCTGAAGGAGTAGACAGGAACTCTGTGTACACTTTTCTGCAACTTCCTGTGAATCTATAATTATTTCAAAATTAAAGTAAAAATAAAAATAAGCAGGCAATAAGCTTTGTAAGGGCAAATATATATGTTATGATTTCTTGATATTTCCCACAGTTCTGAGTATAAAGAAGAGCACATATATCTATTGCATACGTAAGACAAGAGAGAATCATTTAAAGTGTGTTATATAGAGGTATATACCACTTAATGGTATCTCAATGATGAACCACATATATGACTACAGTTCTGTAAGATTATAATGGAGCTAAAATTTCCCATCACCTAGTGATGTAACAGCCATCATAACAGCACAGTGTAATGCATTATACTTACGTGTTCATGGTGTTCCTGGTTTAAACAAACCTACTGTGCTGCCAGACACATAAGTATAGCATATACTATGTTATCAAACACTTGATAATAATGACTACATTACTGGTTTCTTGATAATAATAAATGACTATATTTTCGATTTATGTATTTACTATACTTTTTGTCATTATTTTAGAGTGTACTCCTTCTATTTATTTTAAAAATTAAACCAGTAAACCAGTATGCCATATTATACCAGCAATAGCCTTGTACATCTCAGATTTATTGCATCTCCTCATTGCATCATTTTCTCTTGTACTTGATCTAACCTTGTGTTGTTTTATTCATCATGGTCCTTTTAGTGGGCTAAGATGTGAAACTGGAAGACAATGGTACTGATTATCCTGACTCTGTTTAGGCTTAAGCTAATGTGTATGTCTCTTAGTGCTTAACAAAAAGTTTAAAATGTAAAAAATGTTTTAAAATGTTAGAAATATAGGGAACCAGCAGTTAGTGTAATGGCTATGTCGCTGGACTCCCACGTAGTTGACCGCGGTTCACGTCCGGGGCCCGGTGGCTTAGAACTCACGCTGGGCACATGTGCGTGCATGCCCAAGATCCCGAGGAGAATGGAGGAGAAGGGATTGCGGCGTGACCATCACCTCTGGGGGGTGATTTCTCGCTTTCTGTCTCTCTGTCTCTCACTGTCTGTCTGGCGAGCGCACGCACCCTATAGCAAAAAAATCTCTCCAAAAAAAAAATTAACTAAAAATGTTAGAAATATGGGGGGCCAGCAGGTAGTTAAGGCACTGTACTCCCACATGGCCAACCATGGTTTTAGTCCTGGACCTGGCAACTTAAAAATCATACCAACCGCATGTGTGTGTATGCCTAAAATCCCAAGAGGAGTATGGAGAAGGACTGCAGTATGGCCATTTTCCCTGGGGGGTGATTTTTCATTTCCCCCCTCTTCTGTCTGTCTCTCTCCAGCAAGCACAAGCACCATATGGAAAAAAATAAATTAGGAATAGAAAAAAGCCTCTAGGGGCCAACTCCATGACCTGGTGGTTATAGCAGCCAGATCTCACATGGCTGACTGTGTGGTTCGAGTCCTGGACCTGGCAACTTGAGAAATACACCTGGTATGTGTGCATATGTGAAAGGAGGAAGAAATGGGGGAGAAAGGATTGTGATGTCACTATTTCCTATGGTGAGTGCTTTCTCCTCTTCTTTTTATCATAAGTGCATGTGCCCTCCAATTAAAAAAAAAGTTAAGAAAAGAGCCTATAGGATGAGGATATAAAGAAAAATATAAGGGCTAGCAGGTGGCATGGTGGTTAAGGGCACGGCACTCCCACATAGTTGACCGCGGTTCAAGTCCAGACAGACAGAGATAGAGAGAGAGAAAGTGAGAAATCACCCCCCAGGGGGAAAAATTTTGTTTTTAAGGTTGAATAATTTTCTACTTTATGGTGATCAGCAGGTGCCGTAATGGTTATGTCACTGAATTCCCACATGACCAACTGTGGTGCGAGTCCTGGACCTAGTGCCTTGAAACTCATGCCGGGTGTATGTGTGTACATGTCCAAAATCCCAAGAGGAGAAAGAAGGAGAAGGGACTGCAGCATGGCCATCCTCCGTTGGAGGTGATTTCTTGCTTTCTGTCTCTCTGTGTCTCTGATGAGTGCACACACGCTATAGGGAAAAAAAAATCCAAATAAATTAGTAAATAAAGTTAAATAAAATAACTCTTAAAAAAAGAAAAATATATTTTGTGCAAGTATACAAAATGTTTTTGTCTTAATCTAAGTGTTATTACAAAAGTCAAAGTTTTTTTAAAAATTAAGTTTATAGGTGTCAGCAGGTAGAGTGGTGGAGTCTCAGACTTGGTGGCTTGCTTTTTCACTTTTTCTGTCTCTCTCTCTCTCTCTCTGTCTCTCTCTGGCGAACATACATGCCCTGTAGCATATTAAAAATAATAATAATGATAAATAAAAATAAATAATTCTTTTTAAAAATTAAGTCTATAAAGTAATTATAGAAAGCTTAGTTTATTACTGAATAATTTTTTATATAAGAATTTTTTAGTATAGCCTAAGTGTACAGTGTTTATAAGGTATATAGTAGTGTATAGTAACGTCCTAGGCCTTCCCATTCACTCATCAGTCACTCATGGATTCATGAAGAGAAATTTCCAATTCTGCAAGCTCCATTCATGGCAGGTACTCTATACAGGTGTACTATGTTTCACCTTTTATACTACATTTTTACTATACCTTTTCTATGTTTATATACATACATACTTACCATTGTTACAGCTGTCTAAAGTATTCAGTCCAGTAAAATGCTGTATAGGCTTGTAGCCTAGAAACAATAGGCTATACCATAAGCCTAGGTATATAGTAGGCTACATCACTCTGGTTTGTGTGAGCACACTCCATGATGTTCACATAAGGATGAAATTGCCTATAACACATTTCTCAGAATATATTCCCTTCATTAAGTGATGCATGACTGTAACTTTTTTTCTTTTTAAATCTAAGAAAGCTTATCCTTACAGAAACTACTTAGAGGTAATTTTACTAAATCTATTTCCATGAACAGAGGACTTAATCCTAGCAGTTAAGGCAGAGACTGCATTAAAATCAAAATACCAGACAAAGGTCAAAGAAAGGTGCCTAGGTAGTGAAGGAGACAAAAATTAATAAAAAATAGCTACAATGTAACCTACACAGGAACTATGGTAAAGCAATGTGACTTGGTTATTATGAGTAGCTATCATAAAAATGATAACCCAGCGCCCCATCCTAAAGGAAGAAATCATCAGAAGGAAAGGAATATGTACTCAGTACATCACAAGTTACAAGTGTATTGTCAGACATTTTGTTACCCATGCCATGCCTACCTGGTATCAGAGAATTCCAAACTGATGACATTGAGGACTTTCTCTCTCTTCCCACTGTAATAATATTTCACAAAATCACCGAGCTTCATCTTGCAGTCAGCCTGGCGGGTCACATCAATCACATCAATTTCTTTGTCAGATCCTGCAATAAAGAGATGTATTCTACACCAAGTGGTCTCAGAGACTGGAAAACATAGTCTCATCCCCTTAACTCCCTGGAATGGTCTTTCACTCAAAGCTTCTATATTCAGGGGCCAGCAGATGGTATGATGATTAAAGCACTGGACTCCCACATGACCAACTGTGGATTGAGTCCCAGACCTGACAGCTTGAAAATCATGTCGGGTACGTGTGTACATGCCTAGAATCATGAGAACAGAATAGAAAAGAAAGGACTGCAGCAAGGCCATCCCCCCTGGGGTGTGATTTCTCACTGTCTCTCCAGTGAGTGCAGATGCCCTAAGACAAAAACCTAAAAAAATAAAAATAAAAAAGAAGCTTCAATATTCAGACACTGTATATATATATGCATGTATATTCAAGGGCTGGGGAATTTATCACAATTTATTTAGATCTGTGTGCTATGCCCAGGCCTACTAGGGCTATGGAACTACTTGGCACACAGACTGAAACATAACACAGTTTACCTACCTAGGCCCTGCTTCCTCACTACTTCTTTTTGTTTCCCCAAAAACGCATGCCTACACAACAACTGACAAATAACCACAAGAGTCAAGGCCTTTCTTCTCTCAACACAGGACAGAAATACTATTATTCCTAGAATTCTCCAGTTTACAAAAAAGAAAAAAAAAAAAACAGGGCCCAGTGTGGTCTGTTAAGAGAAGAAAGGAGTTCAGGATTTGGCTCTATCTTTACTAAAAAGTGACTTCTGGCAAGGTACCTCACCTCAGATTCCCAAGATGGTTAGAAAGAAAATACAAGGTAAATTGGAGGGAAAGGGACATAGGTCTTAACAGGAGTGAACAATGTGACAGTTAAGAGGGTCTGTGGTGTCTTACCAACATAGTGTTCCACATCTCTCACAGTGAATGATGGCGAAGGCAGTGTCATCCCCAATCCATCCTTTTTCAAGACAAGGATGGGCACACTGAAGCTGTTCTCTTCTAGGAATTCCACAGTCAGCTGATTTCCAGTGGGCTTCAGAATCACTTCATCTGAGCTGTGGACCATAGTAGAGAAAGCATAAGCCCAACAAGGCCTGCCCACTAAAGGCCTTACTGGATGATGCCATTCACTCAAGGGTGGGGTCTTCCTGAGGGGACCTGTGGGCTGGTAACTAATGACCTAAACCTCATGTGCCAGGATAGAGATGGCCTGTACAAGGCAAGAGGCCAAGTCACTGGCAGAAGTGGGGAATATATGGTCAATAGAGAATTCATCTAGATGGCAAAGAAAGATATCAGTCAACAGTCTGCCCAAGAAGTAGATGTCTGACAACTTTGGGTGATTTGTTCTAGCCCAGAGTAACATCACCCAATTTAAAACATTGACAGGGGTCAGTAGGTGGCATGGAAGTTAAGGGGGCTAGATCCCACATAGCCAACTGTGCTGTTCCAGTCTCAGACCCAGGGCTTGGAAAACATGTCAGGTACACATGTATGCATGCCCAAAATCCCCAAAAGAAAAGGGAGGAGAAGGCACGCTATAGCAAAAACTTAAAAAAAAAAATACTGATTAAACAAAACAAAACAAAACAAAACAGGTCAGGCTATAATAACACAATGCTCCATGATTCTGAACCACATGAGAAGGTTCCAGGTTCACATTTCAAGATTTCATAATACATACTGGGCATTCATACATGTGCATAGCCTTGGCTGGCTGAGGCCAAGAGTCGACTGCTGCATGAAAGCCCTGTTAGGGTTGCTTGTCTCTTTCTCTCTTGTGAAATAAATGAATAAGTAAACTTTAAAATTGCATTTTTTACAACCACTTTCTCAATACACATACTTAGTTGACTAGAAAATAGGAGTTTTTAAAAACTCATGCTGAAAAAAAGATAAGATTATTTGGTAAGTTGAGACAAATGTATTAAGCTCATATCTACCTCAGACTTTATGTATTTTTAGATGGCCCAAAGATTAAATTGTAAAACATGGCCTGTTGCTGTGGCCTAATGGTTAAGGGAGCCAGATCCCACGTGGTGGACTGCAGTTCAAATCCCAGCCCTGGGGACCAGCAGTTAGCGTAATGGCTATGTCACTGGACTCCCATGTGGTCGACCGCGGTTTGCGTCCTGGATCCAGTGGCTTAAACTCACACAGGGCGTGTGTGCGTGCATGCCCAAGATCCCAAGAGGAGAATGGAGGAGAAAGGATTGTGGCGTGGCCATCCCCCCTGGGGGGTGATTTCTCGCTTTCTGTCTGTCTGGCAAGGTCACACGCCCTATAGCATAAAAAAAAAAAAAATCCCAGTCCTGGTGGTTTAAAAAACACACAAGGCACATGTACATGTATGCCCAAAATCCTAACAGGAAAGAGAAATGGAGGAAAAGTGATCGTGGTATAACCAGTCATTTAAAATAGTAATAAATTAGGACCAGCAGATGGCATAATGGTTACATCACTGGACTCCCATATAGTCAACAGTGGTTCGAGTCCTGGACCTAGCAACTTAACACTCATGCCAGGCGTGCATATGTGTGTGTGCCCAAGATCCCAAGAAGAGACTGGAGGAGAAGGGATTGTAGCATGGGCATCCTCCCTGGGTGTAATTTCTCTTCCTGTCTCTCTGTCTCTCTGATGAGTGTGCATGTGCCCTAATGCAAAAATCTCTCTAAAAAATAGTAATAAATTTAATTATACAAAAATTAAAATTTTCTGTAAAATTATAAATCAGTAAGAAATAATAACATAACAGAAAAATAGGCAACACTGGGCAGGTGGTAGTGCAGTTGTAACACATAAGAAAAGTACTGGGTTCAGCTAAATAATGTGATTGAATATATAAAAAAAAATTTTTAAATAAATCATTGTTTTTTAAAATTTTTTAAAAAAGAAATTAACTTAAAAAAATGAAAGTAAAGTCCTGGGTTCAAGTCCCAGGCTCTCCCTCAGCACACCAAGCACATACACATGTCTGTGATCCACGCTGGTTGAGACTAGGGATGAACTGCAGTATGAAGACCCTGTTGGGAGTACCTGTCTCTCTGCCTTTCTCTCGCTCTCTCTCTCATGGAGGAAATAAACTTTAGAAGAAATCAAGAAAAAAATTGTCAACACAAGCAAGCTTGTTAATAGAGAAATAAAAATGTCTCATAAATGCATAAAAATCTACTTACCTCCTTCACAATTAAACAAATAGAAGTGAAAACAAGAGTTCATTTTTTAAGAGAGATTTTTGCTACAGGATGTGTGCACTCACAGGAGAGACAGAGAGTGACAGAGAGAAAGTGAGAAATCATCTCTCAAGGGAGATGGTCATGCCACAATCCTTTCTCCTCCATTCATTCCCCTCTTGGGATTTTGGGCATACACAAATATTTCCTGGCAGGAGTTTTTTTTTGTTTTTTTTTTTTTGTTTGTGTATTTGGTTTAAGAGAGAGATTTTTGCAATAGGATGCATGCCCTCGCCTGAGAGACAGACGAAGAGACAGAAAGTGAGAAATCACTGCCCAGGGGAATGGCCATACCACAATTCCTTCTCCTCCATTCTCCTCTCAGGATCTTAGGCATGCACGTGCTCACACCCAGCATGAGGTTTAAGCCACCAGTTCTGGACTTAAACCATGGTCAATTATGTGGGAGTCCAGCAACATAACCTTTACACCATCTGCTGATCACCTGGTTTGAGTTTTAAGCAGCCAGGTCCAGGACTCAAATTGTGGTCTATTATGTGGGAGTCCAGGGGAAATAACCATTATACCACCTACTGGCCCCAATATTTCATTTTTTTTAATTATGTGTTTATTTAATCCCACTTATTGTTATTATTATTATAGTTATTATTATTACTTTGACCAAACAGAGACAGAGAGAGAAAGAAAGGGGAAGTGAGAAAGCAAGCCACCAGGTCCAGGACTCAAACTATGGTTAGTCATGTGGGAATTTACCGCCTTTAACCACCACACCACCTGCTGGCCCCAAGATTTCATTTTTTATCTATCTGAAGGGTAAAAAAATTGCTAACAGGGGTCAACAGTTGGCAACATTTATAAATATTTTTAAAACATATACGCCTTGGCCTAATAATTCACTTTCAGACTGTAAATCTACACGTATACTCAACACATATGCAAAAACTTAAGTATAAAAGATTTTCACAGCAGCATTTTTTTTTTCTAACAAAACACTAGATTCAACTTAAAAGTTCATCAACAGAGGACTGGTTAAATAAAGTGCATTTCTGGACCAGCCAATGACATAGGGGTTAAGGCAGATGAATCCCATAGGGCAGACTTCATGGTTCAAGTCCTGGACCCAGCGGCTTGAGACACACACTAGGCATGTATGTATGCATGTCCAAAATCCCCAAAGGAAGAAATGCAGGAAAAGAGACTGTAGTGTGACCATTCCTCCTGGGGAGTTATCTCTCTCTCTCTCATGAGCATACACACCATCAGACAAATTAAATAAATAAAATGCATTTCCATATAATGTAATCCATGAAAAAAAAGAACATCTGCATGTGCTGTTACAGATTGATCTCCAAAATAAATAATCTAGATTTTTAAAAAGCAAAATTAATAAAAAATAGTCTTTCCATTTGTATCAATAAAAGAAAAACATGGCCAACTCCATAGCATATTGGCTATGGAGCTGGATCCCAAATGGCCAACTGTGATTTGAATCTAGCCCCAGTGTCTTGAAAAACATGCTGAGTGAATGCATGCAGGCCCCAAATCCCAACAGGATGGAGAGATGGAGGAGAAGGGACTATGGTGTGACTATGCCCCCATTTTGGGGGTGCTTTCTCTCTCTCTGTCTTTCTGATGAGTGCACTCATCCTCTGGTGATACAAAAGGAAGAAAAGGAGAAGAGAGAAGAAAGAAAGAAGGGGGTAAAAAGGCAAGGATACACAAAAAATATAGTAATGTGCCACATCATGATGTTTCAGTCAACAGTGGACTACAACAGTAGTCCCATAAGATTATAATAGGCTATACCACAGAGGCTAGGAGTGTAGTAGGCTATACCATGTTAAGTTTGTATAAGTACACTCTGTCATGCTCACAAGATGAAATTACTGGGGTCAGCAGGTGGCATAGTGTTTAAAGGCACTGGAGTCCCATTTGGCCAACCACAGTTTAAGTCCTAGACCTGGCAGCTTGATTTCTCTCTTCCTCTTTCTTTCTGTCTCTCTCTGGTCAAATTTAAAAAATAATAACAAATGGAATTAAATAAATAAATAAATCTTAAAAATTATGAAATTGCCTAACAATACATTTCTCAGAACGTATCCCCATCATTAAGCAACACATGACTATATATGCTTGCATAAGTGAAAACTTTCTGAAAGAATGTAAAAGAAATTGATTGACTTTGGAAAAGGGACCTGAGGAGTCTAGAGTAGAGGAGACTCACCACCTTTAAATAAACAAACAATTTTTTAAGAATTTAGTTGTAGAAACACATTCAAAATACCACTTCAGCTATAGGAAATCTGAAAATGCTCCAATGAATTAAAAGTCAAGCAAAAGAAGGGCCAGCAGGTGGTGTGGTGGTTAAACTGGCTGAACTCTAACATGGCTGATAGCAGTTCAAGTATTGGACTTGGCAGCTTGCTTTCTCACTTTCCCTCTCTCTCTGCCTCTCTCTAGTCAACTTTAAAAAAAAGTAAAAATAAAATGACAATGAATAAAATTTTTTAAAATAGTCAAGCAAAAGAGAGTATTTTTAGCTTGTAATTTTTGCCCAATTCAAGTAATTTATTTATTTTAATTTGACTAGAGGGGGAGGGAGGGAGGGAGAGAGAGGAGGAAAGAGAGAGTGAGAGAGAGAGAGAGAGAGAAATTGAGAAAGCAGGCCACCAGGTCTGGGACTCAAACTGCAGTCAGCCATGTGTGAGTCCAGAGCCCTTAACCACTATACCACTTACCAGTCCCTAAATTTTTAACACTTAAAAGTTGTTCAGCAAAGAATGAACTCATCACAAAGAATGAACTTAATAGTCAAAAGATTTATGAAAGGGATGGGACTCCGGCATAGAAGCTGTCGCAACTAAATAACTCATTTCATATTTATACTGTAAAGATATTGATTGATACTACCTACCAGCCCCAATGTCATTGGGGCTTTAAAAGATGTATATGTACAACTATATGTCAATTGAAAATTATAACTAAAAAGGTTTTTAATAAGACTAGCTTAGGGACCAATCCATGGCCTCATGGTTAAGGGAGCCGGACACCACATGGCCAACTGTACAATTTGGGTACCATATCCAGTGGCTTCAAAACACCAGGCATGTGTACATGTATGCCCAAAATCCCAAGAGATTAAGATAGAGAAGAAAGAATTGTGGCATGACCATTCCCCACGAGGGAGTCTTTCTCCCTTTCTGTCTGTCTATCTCTGATCTGGCAAATTAAAAATAATAATAATAAGCCCAGCTTAAATTTTTCAAAAGAAATAGAAAACAAAAAACAACTGGTAATAAGATGTGTTTGGCAATCCTTTTTCCTCCATTTCTTCTTCCCATCAGGATTTTGGGCACATGTACACACACTTGGTGTGTTCATCAAGTTGACAAGGCTGAGATTCAGTTGTCAGCCAGTGCAATCTGACTCCCCTAAACATTGTACCACACAGCCAGCCCTCCCAAAGACTCTTTAATCGTAAAAGAAATACATTACCTCTCAAAATTTTTTTATTTTTAAAGTTTGCTCTTATATACAACGGGAGATTTTAACTTTCTAATCTTTAACATTCTATATAGTTCTAGCATTCCTTAAATGTAAGTATCCTCTCTTGACTTGGGCAAATGCTGCCTCCCAACTACCAAAAGTTTCTAAAAGTGGGCCTAAATATTCTGTGTACTTCAAATGAAACTCTTGCTACTGATTCTCAGACACTTACCAAACTTACAAAGTCCTGAAGACACCCACAAATGAAGAAGGCACTTTATTGGATAACTATTGGGAAAGCTGGGAGGAGATGGGTCCCAGCTTCCTAAAGCCCAGACATTTACCAGTCCTTGGTGCAGGGGTTCTCACCTGTCAAAAGTTCTACTCCGGAGTTCTCGAATGAATGTGGCACTTCCAGTCTTCACTGGCTTCCCCTTTTGTGTATCATGCCCCTTTGAAGATCCACGCCGTTTTTTCACTAAACCAGAAAAAGACACGAGACTGTGAATCAGAATGGCTATGGGCTATGAATCCAAGAACAAAGGCCTCAGCAGATCATTCTTTTCTTCTACTCTAATAACACCTTGAAGTATCTGGAGTTGAGGCCCTCACAGTCTCAGAATATATTTCTGCTATTTCCTAAGGAAAACAAATCCAAAGCACTCAGGCAAAGGCACTTGCCCTCCCAAGTTTCCTTTGCTTTGTCTCTCCTCTAGACCACCTTCTCTGGGAAACATTAAGGTCTACTTACTAATAGAAGGCCCATGTAAGACCTCACAGTTGGGACAGTGGTAGAGGTCTATGTCAGCAGCCTTCTCCTCTTCGACACCAACACAACTGAAAAAGAGAAAAGCAGACAAGATTTATGGAAATTTTATTTTTTAGAAGGTCTAGAACATTGCTATCCAGTGGCTATTAGGTACATGAGGCTATTTATACTTAAATAAATTAAAAGCAATAAAATTTAAAATGCAGTTCTGTCATGCTAGTGACATTTTTCAAGTACTCAGTAGCCACATTACTGGTTACTATTTTGAACAGATTATAGAACTTTTCATCAGTACAAAAATTCTATTGGACCATATTTGTCTAAAACAATTTAATATCAGAACCAGTCCTGCTGCTTGGTGGTTAAGGGAACCAGATCCCATATGGCCACCTGCACAGTTCACATCCCTGCCTGATGACTTGAAAAAATACACCAGACATGTGCGCACACAAGCTCAAAATCCTGACAATGTAGAGAGACAGAGAAGGGATTGGGATGTAATCATATCCTATCAGGGGGTACTTTCTCCCTCTTCCTCTGTCTGTCTCTGGTGAATACGCACACACTCTGGCAAAGTTTTTAAAATAAATATGATAAAACTAAAAATACATACACAGTAAAGTCAGTAAGACTCACAATGGTCAAAGCTGGAAAGAATTCTAGAGCAGCACGAATAAAAATATAATGTGAGCCAGATACATAATTTTAAATGTTCTAATGGCCATATTAAAAGGTTAAAAGAAGGTCAGTCCCTTGAACAGTGATTAAGCACTGTACAAGAAGCCAGATCATGCAGGGCCACAGGTGTTCAAATTCCTGCCCCAGTGGCTTGAAAAACACAACTTGTTGGTATGATTATGCCCCACTGAGGGGTGCTTTCTTTCTCTCTCTCACTCTGCCAAGCACATATACCTTATTGCAATAAGAATATTGTTAAAAAAAAAAAAAGCTAAAAGAAACATGTGAGGGACCAGCAGGTGACATGGTGGTTAGGGCACTTGACTCCCACATGGTCAACTGTGGTTCGAGTCCTGGACCTGGCGGCTTTGCTTTCTCACAGTCCCTCTTTTTCACTCTGGTGAGCATGCCTGCCCTGTAGCAAATTTTAAAATAATAATAATAATGATAAGGTTAAATAAATTGTTTAAAAAGAAACATGTGGGGCGAGCAGGTGGCATAGTGGTTAAGAACACTGGACTCCCACATGGCCAACTGCAGTTCGAGTCCCAAACTGGCAGCTTGATTTCTCACTTTCTCTTTCTCTCACTCCATCCTTCTCTGGTCAAATTAAAATAAATAAATGAATAAATAAATAAATCTAAATAATTCTTTTTAAAAAGTGCAAAATTAATTTTAATATTTAACTCAATATGTACAAAACATTATTTCAATATAATCCAAATTTTAAACTTCATTGAGATACTTTACTAAATGAAAAGAACTTAAAAGGAATGTTTCATAGTCAACAGTGGTTCTGAGTGAAAGGTAATTATTTTTCTCTTCCTTGTGTTTCTTATTGAATATGTGTTGCTTACTTCATATTTTAAAGTCTAAAAGAAATTTTAATTTTGAAAATTTGAGTTTGCATGTATATAAGGTAGTAATCTTGCAAAATTAAACCATTCCCTCATTACTCCTAAATCTTTGGTCAGCCACATATAAGAGGGAACATAAAGGTGAAGCTGAACGCAAACTAGTTCAGTGTAGATTATACTCATAACTGACTTCCTGGGACCTGAATCCCACCATCTTCCCAGTAAGTCCATGCTTGTAAACCTGTAGCATATCATAAATTGGAGATAGTACCATAATCTTTGTAGGACTCTATCAGATAATGTATAATATATAGTGTGTAGCACAGTGAGCATAGAGTCTGGTACACATTAACTTATTAATATGTGATAGCTTGGGACCAGCAGATGGCATAATGGTTATATCACTGGATCTCCACAGTCGACCACAGTTCCAGTCCCAGATCTGGTGGCTTAAAACTCACACCAGATTCATGTGCGTGTGTGTCCAAAATCCCGAGAGGAGAACAGAGGAGAGGGGACTGTGGCATGGCCATCCCCCATCAGGGATGATTTATTGCTTTCTGTGTCTTTGTCTCTCTGTCTTTTCAGCAAGCACAGGTGCCCTATAGCAAAAATCTCTCTCTAAAAACAAAAAGTGAAAGTTATTATTATTATTATTTTTTTATCCAGTTCAGACCTCATTCTTCACCTGCCTAAACCTTCTTTAAATATATTCCCCAGATCTTGTGGAATTAGCTCACTTACCTGGACCATATGCTTTCTACCTCATTTCCTGTTACCCTTGGTCACTGCTCATGGAAGCTCCTTCACCAATCATCTCTCTCTCCTGAACTTCTATCTCAAATGGTTATAAGCTTTCTGTACCTCAAAGGCCTTCTGCTCATAAACTTTCCCAACTTAGCTGTTGTACCCTTGGCAATTGCACCCCTTGGTAAACAAAAACTACTCTACATTCACATTCCCTTCAACAAACCCTCCTTCCTCTTTCTGCCTTAACTGAATCCAGCTTTCTCCTATGAGAAAATCATTTTCTCTGAACCAGTGTCAAAGTATGGACTGCTGCTGCTCTGTGAACTGTTTACTTATTATAGGTTTATAATAAGTACAGAAAGTGAGAGTAAGCACTACTTTATGTAAAAGCTTTTATGACAATTTAGCAAAATAATTACATTATCTATTAAATCTAATAAAAAACTGGGGTTTATATCTTGTATTACTTTTTTGCTCATACCATTTTTTTAAAGATCTATTTAATTTTATTATTATTATTTTTTAATTTGACCAGAAAGAGATGGGGGGAGGGAGTAAGAGAGCAAGCCGCCAGGTCCAGGACTTGAACTATGGTCAGTCATGTGGGAGTCCAGAGCCTTAACCACTATGCCACCTGTTAACTCCACACCATTTTTAAATTTTATAATTTCCTATCTACATTTAATTATTATACATCTTTATGGCATACAACATGATTTTCTTAAAACATGCATGCAGTGTGAATATCAAATCAAGGATATTACCAAATACATCATACTTTAATTTAGACAGAGTCTCATTACATCACAATCTTCCTGCCTCAGCCTCCTATGGACTACCAGCATGCCTAGTTCCTTCAGGCTTAGTTCCTTCAGACAGGGTCTGGCTATGCTATCCACACTGGCCTCAAACTTGCAATCTTCCTCTTTCAGCCTCCAGAGTAACTGGGACTAACATGTATGCCACCACACCTGGCTTTTTAGGGCAGGGCAGAAATCAAATCCAGGCCTCCTATGTGGTCTCAGTCTGCAAAGAAGCAGTGTCAACCAGTGTGCACCACTGCTGCTGAGTCTAATAATTAATTCTATATTTTATAAAAGGATTGGTTCATTATAAATTAGAAATTTTTTAAAAATCCAAATCGTTTGCCACAGAAAGTCTAAGAAGCACTGTGTTGGAGCTCTATCAGGCAGAAACTGTACATATTCCCATATGCTCATAACTCAGGGCTAGGCTATGAGTAGATGTCCTCCTCACTCTCCAGTGAGACTTTTTTTTATTCATTCATTCATTTTGATTTGACCAGAGAGAGGGGGAGGGGAGTGAAAAAGCAAGCCACCAGGCCCAGGACTTGAACCATGGTTGGCCATGTGAGAGTATCTAGCACCTTAGCCACCATGCCACCCCACCAGGGAAACTTTGAGATTATCTCTCCTCTACCCTTTTTTTGTTTTTTGGGGTTTGTGTGTTTGTTTTTTGAGAGTTTTTGCTATAGGGCGCGTGCGCTTGCCAGACAGACAGAGACATAGAGATAGAAAGCGAGAAATCACCCCCCGGGGGGATGACCACACCGCAATCCCTTCTCCTCCATTCTCCTCTCGGGATCTTGGGCATGCACGCACACGCACCCGGCATGAGTTTTAAGCCCCCGGGTCCGGGACGTGAACCGTGGTCGACTACATGGGAGTCCAGCGACATAGCCCTTATGCTAACTGCTGGTCCCTCCTCTACCCTTTTATAAGATCTCTTACTTTATAAGTTTCATACCATCCAGCCATACTACTTCCTACTTCTCTTCATCACTGTCAGCTACCCATACATATCTCCCCAACATATTCTTCTTCTCAGTAAAAAAACCTACTCACATAGTCCTCTCTACCCCACATCTTGCCAACATCCTACATGACACCAGTATAAATATAGAGCCCCAACATCCCAGGCTCTTAGTTCTTTGACTTTCTCATCTTCAGAGACTATTACCTCTACTCTCATTTCATGACCATCCCCCAGACCTTGTCAACACCAAAAATTGCTCCACCTCTGGAATATTATATTCATATATCACTTTCTCTGACCACAAGTGTATCCATTTAACTATCACTCATTACACCTGTTCTCTGACCTCAAAATCCCTTGATCCTCCTACTTTTCACCTATTCACTCATTCTATTGTTTTGTTTTGTTTTACTTTGCTATAGGGTGCATATGGTTGAGGGTAGAGGGAGAGAGAGAAATCACCCACTAGGGCGGGGTGCTGACCACACCACAATCCCTTCTCCTTTCTCCTCTTGGAATTTTGGGCATGCATGCACACGTGCCCAGCTTGTTTTTCAAGTCACTGGGCCCCGGACTTGAACTGAATAGTCGGCCATGTGGAATCCAGCTTCCTTAACCTTCCTGCCATCTACTAGCTCCTATTCACCCATTCTTGATTTCAACCTCCTTCCCTATCTTGCTTAGATTCCAGTATTCTTCAATTCAACTATTCTCTTATAACAGATATCTTCACTTGCTCCACTGCCTTTCACCCCCACATGCAAACCCCAACCTAGGCTCAGTCCAACTATGACCACTGGATATGGCTAAAAAAAAAATCACAAATTGGATTGGTGAATCAAGAAATTCACTGTCCAGGGGACCAGCAGGTGGTGTGGTGGTTAAGGTGTCCCATATGGCCGACAATGGTTTGAGTCCCAGACCTGGTGGCTTGCTTTCTCACTTTCCCTCTTTCTCTCTGTATCTCTCTCTGGTCAAATTTAAAAAATGAATGAATAAATAAAATT